GGGGGGGGGGGGGGGGGGGGGGGGGGGGGGGGGGGGGGGGGGGGGGGGGGGGGGGGGGGGGGGGGGGGGGGGGGGGGGGGGGGGGGGGGGGGGCAGGGATTAGGGGTTGCGGGATTCTGATTGATTTTGGGGGCGCAGAGATCGGGGATTTTGGAGTTTTTGGATATTGGGGTCTTGACCTCGATCTTACAGCTTTGAATGGGAGGGAGATTGGAAAATTTTATGAGTTCTTTTTTAAATCAAAACAGACCGTCGGCTTTTTGCGAAATGGAGTTTTTTTTTCTTTGAGGGGCTATGAGTTTGAACTCTTGACCTGCATTAAGCGCTTTTTTCAATCGATTTCGATTTGTGATCAGTTTCGCTTTTTGGTTTTTGATTTTTTGTTGTGGGGAATTGATCGGTTGATGACATCGTGACAGCTGTCTAGCGATGGGGGGGAGGGCTCAGGGGTTGCAGGATTCCGAATAATTTTGAGGGCTTAGAGGTTGGGGTTTTTGGATTTTTTGATGGGAAGGACGTTGGGATCTTGACCTCGATCTTATATCTTTGAATGGGAGGGAGATTGGAAAATTTGATGAGTTCTTTTTTGGATCAAAACAGACCGTCGGCTTTTTGCGAAAAGCAGTTTTTGTTTTTTTTTTCCTTGAGGGGATGAGTTTGAACTCTTGACCTGCATTAAGCGCTTTTTTTAAATAGATTTCGGTTTGTGATCAGTTCTTGCCTCTCATAGCGGTTCCGCTTTTTGGTTTTTGATTTTTTGCTGTGGGGAATTGATCGGTTGATGACATCGTGACTGCTGTCTAGTGATGGGGGGGAGGGCTTAGGGGTTGCAGGATTCCGAATAATTTTGAGGGCTGTTTGGAGAGCTTAGAGGTTGGGGTTTTTGGAGTTTTTGATGGGAAGGACATTGGGATCTTGACCTCGATCTTTTATCTTTGAATGGGAGGTAAATTGGAAAATGTTATTTGTTATTTTTAATCCAAAGCGTGGTCTTCTTGCGAAATGCAGTTTTTGATTTTTTTTCTTGGAGGGATTATGAATTTGAACTCGTGACCTCCATTAGGCGCTTTTTTTAATCGATTTCGGTTTGTGATCAGGTCTTACCTCTCATAGCGTTTCCGCTTTTTGATTTATGATTTTTTTGTTGTGGGGGGAATTGATCGGTTGATGCCATCGTGACAGCTGTCTAGCGATGGGGGGGAGGGGGAGGGCTTAGGGCTTGTGGGATTCTGATCAATTTTGAGGGGTGTTTTGAGGGCCTAGAGGTTGGGGTTTTTTGGTTTTTTTGATGGCAAGGATATTGCGATCTTGACCTTGATCTTATATGTTTGAATGAGAGAGATTGGAAAATTTTATGAGTTCTTTTTTAATCCAAAACAGGCCGTGGGCTTTTTGCGAAATGCAGTTTTTCATTTTTTTTTCTTTGAGGGATTATGAATTTATACTCTTGACCTCCATTAGGCGCTTTTTCAATTGATGTCGGTTTGTGATCAGTTCTCGCCTCTCATAACGGTTCCGCTTTTTGGTTTTTAATTTTGTTGTTGTGGAGAATTGATCGGTTGATACCATCGTGACAGCTGTCTAGCGAAGGGCGGGGGAGGTCTTGGGGGTTGCGGGATTCAAATGACTTTTGTGCGTTGTTTTAAGGGCTTAGGGGCTGGGATTTTTTGAGTTTTTGATTGGAAGAATATTGGGATCTTGACCTCGATCTTATATCTTTGAATGAGAGAGATTGGAAAATTTTATGAGTTCTTTTTTGATGAACTTTCTACAATTCCGATAGATGGGGGTGCGCATAAGGACCGTTTTCCAAAATGACCCCCCATATTGAAACATGGACGTATCCACGTAAAAAAACACGAAAAAGCTATTATCAGAATCTCCCATCCTCTTTAGACTCAAACATATTCAGCAAAAACTTGATCGGAAATCAAGTGGACTCGTCTTTCTCCTCCACTTCACTAATAATCCAAAGTGGAGCATTATTTCCAGCCGATAAATCTCAACGTAGCAAAGCTCGAGTAGAATAATAAAGAAGCAAACTCCAATTCACAGTTTTTTACTCCTTCCGAATGAGAAACTAACCGACCCCGAAATTGTGGCAATCGTTGAATATTTAAAGATCGAAATGACTGGCTAAATTTAGAAACTCGATAGTGAAAGTCTCGAAATGATGATAACTTGGTGGTCAATTAGCAATTCCAATTAGTTGGGTGTACCGAATGGGGTTGTGCGGCCTCATAAACTCCGGGGGTGATGGTAGGCAGCGGGTACTCACCACTGATGCGGTATATGTACTTGATGAGGGTCTCAACCGCCCCGCATTCGACCCCAGTCCCGTACCAATTCACAGGAGGCGAGGAGGATCCATCGAATTACCTGGATCCATACGTGGTTTTACCTGAACGCTTCGTGTCACAGGGACTTATCGATGAAAACCAATTTAACTATCATTCGGTACTCTGCACGAATTCATTGTTATAATTAGGAGGGTCTGAGGGACCATCAGCTGATTCATTCGAATATTACGTCACACGGTGGGGGCGGGAGGGGGTCTGCTGTTTATGACGCTGTATGACGAAACGAGGGGAGGAGGTGGCTTAGATCGGGCTGTCACACCACGTTAACGTGAAAAAAAAAGAAAAAAATGGGAAAAAATGAAAAAAAATGGGAAAATGGGAATGGGAATGGGAAAAATTTTATTCCCATTTTCATCGGAGAAAATCGCAAATGCGAAATTATTCGCGTCCACTTTTCAAACTAAAGGTTCCCAAACAGGAATTTCAAGTAAAGCAAAGGTTTTCAAAGAACACCACATAAAGATTTAAGGTGTTTCGGGTGACAAGTCAAAATAATGAAAAAAAAATTGGAAAATTGATGGGAGAAATGTCTGAGTATGCTGGATCATTGAGAATTCTTGCACATTTTTTGCAGAAAAAAAATGAAATTTGGATATTTTTGTAACCCCTCCAGCTGTAACCTCCGAGGTTACCCCACTCTCAATTAGGGAAATTTCCATGGCACCCAAAAAAATAATGAACTATTGAGGAAAAACTAGTGGGTGATAAATCAAATCTTTCTTGAGAACACGTATAAGTTTCAGATTTTTTTCAGATTTCTTAAGAAAGTCATTTGAACAAATGATTCGGAAAATTATGAGTTTCGGGGCAATTACGCCCTCACGCGCAGGCGCGTGATTCGAATGTCAGTGAGCATCATGGGAAAGGTATGGGTTGGACCATGGAACTGAGGGAGAGAAAACACTCGACAGGTTTACCAACTCGAGACGCATTTTCATATTATTTCAATAATTAGAATAACATCCAATAAAAATTATTTGACACCCGTAGGGGATGAGAAAAAAATCAATCAATTTGATAAATAAAATCAATATTCAAAAAGTGTTCAAATGCACACTTAAATAGTCACTTGAAAATTGGAAAATTTCGTGCTCAGCGATTGAATCAGGGCTCGAGAACAATAGGACTTCCTTTCCGTTTCACCCCCCCCCCCCCCCCGGGGGGCTACCCCCCCCGGGGGTCACCTGATCATTAGTCTTCTTTTCCTTCTTATTTTTTAAATTCAATTTTGGGACGTAATATACAAGGGATGTTTGTGACGGCTTGTCACTGTGGGGGGGGGGGAGATCTAAAATATGTGTGAAAAAATGAAAGGGATGTTTTTTTACTTGCGATTTTTTTTATATACTCTTTTTTATTGCATTTTTTCAAAGGAAAATTGAAGAAATATATCAGTTATATATTATAGATACAATTTATGATACGTGTCATGTTGATATTCATAATGCGAAACTTGAAGAAATTTTTTCTGTTGCTATATGAAAACAAATAATGCGATATTGAAAATTCAGTAACGTTTCTCTGCGGTTTTCACGAAATTTTTGATAGAAAAAATTGATTTTGAACAGCTTTTAATTTTTCAAGGAAAATCCCCGGCCATAAATTTTGAAATGTTTCTTCCCTGGTTTTTGTTATGCGACACAAAAAAAATCCAGTGAAACAACAATTGTGAATTTTACGCTCAGGGTGTTCTACAGAAAGAATTTCAACAGAATCGATTTAATCAAAAATTCAATCAAAATCCATCGATCATTTTCTGTTACATCTGTTCTACGAATATTGATACGCAGAAAATCTAATAAACTGTCCTGAGTAATCGCGGAATACTAGTAGAATTTCCAATAGAATCTCACTCGTACTTCAATAAAGTTCTATACCCAATTGTTGTACGTTGTGAACGGAAAAATTGAAGGAATATGTGATAATGTCATTGATAGTCTGAAAATGAACGGATCTTTTTATGGAAAAAATATCAAATAGGAAAATTATCCTACGAAATTAATTGACAGCAGAATTGAGTCATTCAACAATTCCATTTCAATGGAAAAATTGACAGAATATGTGTAATGTTTCATACACATCATATTGACGAAATTCAGTTGAAAACTGAAAGGATATTCCTCCATTTTTTTACGAAAAAAGACGTCAACTAAATGAGTTATTCCATGGAATTAATTAGAAGTAGAATCGAGTAATTATTCACGAATTCTGCCGCCCCTAGACTAAAATACACACAAGCTAATCTAGTTAAGAGCGGAAAAAACAACAGAGTCATCAGCGAGCTTTCCTCTCCTCAAATCCCCTTCCCTCATGTTCTGACGGGCCGCAAAATTTTAATGATCCCAAGGCTTTTCTCCCTCGAAAAAAAAGGAGTGATGGAGCAAAAACAAAGGTTGAGAGGTTCTGCTTTAATCGGGTCAGTGAACAGCCGGTTAAATAGAGTCGTTTATTCAGGGTTCTCTCACAGAATTCACAAAATAAATACTGAAGTATGGTTATTCAAACGAGAAACAAGGCTCCAATCATTGTTCCTTCCAGACGAATTAATTTCGTTGGCAAATAACCGATCCTGATCTCTCAGAGATCCTCGTCTGACTCCTGGAACCTCTGGTACTTGGGTGCAGTCTTGACGATCGAGTTGTATCTCCTGTTGTCTTCGTTGTCACCCAGCGGTTGTTTATTTCTCACCATCGCCAAGTATATGAGACAGGGACAATAGGTGAGATTTAACATACCGACGATTCTCATCACCCACGGGAAACCAATCGTCCGGACCAATTCACTCCCCACAATGGGACCTTGACAATAATCGACAGAGTGAAAAGTCGTTTGTTATGTGGAGACACTGGGCAATTGTAATTGTATTATTCTGAGTATTTCCACTGAATCTGTCATGATTAAGTCTATTCACAGAGGGAATTCACTCTGTCTTGTAGCGTCTGTAGCTACTTCCTGAGAGAGATCCACAAATATACATGATCAGAGAGAAAAAATTCTTGTTTTTGGAAAAAATTTCTTGTTTTGATAAACTTTTGGTTCTCGGCACTGATTCGTTTTCTTTTTTACTGGCAACTTTCAGCTTTTTGCACAATACACTTCAGAAAATTGTTGATATTCATCAGAATATTTTTTGCAGATGTTTTTTGCTCCAGAAAAAAAGGTTCTCACAAAACATTCGACATTTCGAGATATTTAAAGAAAACTGACTTCCAAGGAAAAATAAATTTTTATCTTTATTCTTCTCATGATTTTCATGATAAAATTAATCATATCATGAAACAATATTTTTACTGTATCATTCGAATTGAAAAATTTAGTTTTGAAGGAGAAAAAAAAATGAATCTGCTATATCTTTGTCGATTATTGAGTTATAGAGCTCCGGCAGCGCTAATTTCTTTCTTTTTACTTGTATTTTGAGATGAAAAAAATAAAAATAATACCAAAAATTTAGAGGCAATATTTTAGTTCACCATTTGTTGGAATCACTCATGTACACAGCGAAAAACTTGTTGTTTATAGAAAAAAAATTTTCATTTCACAAACCCTCTATCTTTACTTCCATTCTCTTGCAGAAAAAAAATTCTCTGACGGAGTTTTCTCATTTGAAACACTCCAAATCGTCGCTAAATATAAGCAAATTCATCTGAGAAAATTACAGGACCCTAATTTTAGAACGACAAACATCGCTGATTCAAGAACAACGATTCCCTCAAAATGAATGTAAATATTGATTAATTCAACATTTGTCTTCATTTCAACCAAAAAATGACTGTAAATTAGAACTTCTTAATTGAGTTTCGAGGAAAAAATCCTTGCATCGAGAGATTTCTCCCAAAAATTACAATTTTTTTTCTCTTTGCGAACTCCCCATGAGAAAATACAGAAAAAATATGTATGATATGGGCCAATTTCATACATTTCTTTTTCTCAAAATATATTTTTTTTCGTATGGGTTCCCCCCCCCCCCTTCACGTTACCCATAAGCGATTCCCATTCACGAGGAAAGATTTACAGAATAAAAATTAATTCAGTAGCGAAATGGTAAAGGAGATAAGTCAATTTTAACTATTGAACAATTTTCAATCAATATCTCGGAATCTGAGGGAGATAGCAAAATTTTTGTTATAACCTTTTTTATGGAGCCGATTGAGTGCTACAACAAATGTAATTACGAAAAATTCGCTATCTTCCTTAGATTCGAAAATATTCCTCAAAAACTCAACTGGGAGATAAGTCGACTTATCTCCGTTTACCAATTCACTACTGAATTAGAAATTGAATAATGGATTTGAACGTGCGTGGAAGACAAATTACCTAGGAAGTAAGCAAGACTGACTGCGACCTGCTGTATCGAGTAGACGGGCCCGTAGTTTCCGTCCTGATCGACGAGGCTGGCAAGTAGTGGTACGAGGGCAGCGTCAGCCACCCCTATCCCCAGCCCCAGGCCCAGATGAGGGGCAACCAGCTGGGATATTGATATTGCGGAGGGAAGGCAAATTATGCTTATGCCCACAAGACACATGGCTATCACCGCGGTTCTGCAACGGCCGCAGCGGTAAGCTATTACACCGAAAAAATTCGTGCCCACGAGGTAGCCGACGCTGTCGGGTATGAATACTGTGCCCAACTGCCATTTCTAGAAAATCAGAAGTTCAAATGGGAAATGGCAAGTTCTTTTCAAATCACCTATTCGAATTATTTGTTGGCATTTTACGGTTACACCGAGAGAAATTTTTTAGAAAAACTCTAGTGCTGGCACGGGAAAAAGGCGCAAAGTGACGGCATTTTATTGGGGAAAACGTGAATTTTTCTCCGTATTTCTGTGAAAATTTCACAGAAATCCCCAGAAATTTTACCCGAAATACCAACGAATTTTACCCTAACAACACTAGAATTTTTCACAGCCGGTGGATTGTGATTTTTTCCAGTACTCGTACTAGAATTTTTCTAGAAAATTTCTCTTCGTGTAGGAGATGATTGAAATTTCATGGACATTTTAGTGGTAATTTTTGAGGTACACGGAGAAAAATGTTCAGTAAAAACTACGGAACTCGCTATTCGCTCACCGATTACGGACTCGACTCAGAAAATTTAAGTGACGGTATCGTAATTTTTCACAAGAGATTCAGATAAAAATTACGGAATGCTCTGGAAAAATTCCGTGACAGTTCCGTAAAATTTCCTACAATCACATGTCGCTCCGAAATTACGGGAAAGATACGTAATTTTTATTGAATATTTCTCTCTGTGTAAGTGAATTCGATTTAGGGTGAAAAAATCCTGAAATGTGAATTTCACTGGGAATTCAATAATGCCAATTTTTTGAAGCGTAGGAACACAAGAACTCTACAACTTACTTAAATGTTCAATCGAAAATTGAATATTCAATATCAAATTTCGCTAAATTTTAAATTAATTACGAATTTTTTTTTATTGGAATTAATTATGAATTCACAATATGTTTTCCTGATATTTTCTCATTTCTATCAATTTCTAGGGAACAGTTGACCTTAAATCCAGTTTCCATTGATTTTTTCTTTAAATTGTGAATTTCCAATGACGAAATCCCTAAAAATCGCAGTATAAACATATTCTAGGAGTGTACGGACAAAAATTGTTGATCTTAATAACTTGACCAAATAATTGTTACTATAATAATACACTATTTAAACAAAAACTGAATTTTCATTTTCATTTCAAACAGTTCAGTAGTCATTTTCAGGAGAGTGACATGTCATTCGTTTTTGGGTGAAAAATCATGGAATTCCCTCATTTTACTGAAAATTCCATGGAATTTAAAATTCTTGAACAGCAGGAAGACGATAATTCCTCAACTAACTTGAATTTTCCATTAAACCATGAATATTCAGTATCAAATTATTGTTCTGAATTGGCAATCGATTCAGAATTCCATCGAATGCAATTTTCAATGCCCACAATGAAGTCAAAAATTCAAGGTGTCCTTGAAATATCAACAATTACTTATTCTTAATCAACTCCACTTCATTGAATGCTCAAGACGCATAAGCAATTCCCTGAATAATTAGATTTCAAATTGAAACAAAATTCACAACATTAAAAATCCCCACGCAGCTGTTACCCAAATTTCAAAAAATTCCTGAATCTCCATTCTTCCTTCGAACGTAAAATTTAATGAGCCACTTGAAATACCTTTGGTTTAATATAGGATCTCAACCAGATGGGTAGACATGACTCTAAAATAGCCATCGGTAAAGTCGATAAAAAAATAGCGCCAGTGATTGTTAAAATTTTCCACTCAGTCAGGGTCTTGATCCAGCTAGTTCTGCTCTCCGGTTGCTCTATCATCTTTTCATTCGGTATATAATCGCCAACGAACATTTGCAAGCCTGTAAAATTCCACTCAATAATTCTGAAATGAGAGGGATCAGTAAACAGATTTGGAGCTGCGGGACACCTTCGATTTTCAGGCAGGTGCCGACCACTCGCGTTCTAATGCGTAATTCTTGTTTTTAACAAAAAATATGATCACTGAACGTCAAGGAAATAATTTTCAATTTATTTAGGCATTGGAATTATTTATTATTAATAATTGAATTGTTCAAATCGCCCTGGCACCCAAACTATGAAGAATAGACGAAAATTTTCATATCATGAATCATCTAGAATTTAATAAGGAATAATTTTTGTTTATGTTCAATTTTACCCATCTCTCGTAGATTCCGAGATGTGAGCAATAAGCTAGTTACGCGACCCGACATAGCGCTCTCTGCTTGCGGCGCGCGGTGCACTGAGAGAAAAACGACAAAGTTCTCAAACAAGTCTTACTTGTGCCAAGAAAATAGTTTTTTGAAAATTATCAAAAAAGGATTTTTTTATGCCAAACATGCAGAGAGTACGCCGGAATGAAAAATTTTTGTCGCAAAAATAGATTTAGTAGTTAAAAAAAAATTGCATTCTCTGTACACGCAAGAAATGTCATTTCCAGCACTACTCCTTCGTTATTAGATACTCCCATACGTGTTTTGCTCCCGAAAAATCTTTGTTTTGTGCGAAACAAGGGATAGTAGTTTTTCGTTTCGGCTGTCTAATAATCACAGACAATAAATGAACCCTTAAAGGAAACAATAATAATGATATGATAGCAATCTTGTAGCTTAGGGATAAAATATTTGTTGATAAATTTTCCTCTATATGAGATATTTTCATTCCGAAAAGGCACCGCCTGTTGTGAATTATCCGCCTCTTGAGCCAAATATTTCGCTGCTGTCGAAAGCAGAACAATTATTCATGTTTGAAACTTTCAAATTCGAACCAAACAAATTCTTTTTTGGCAATTTTCAACTAGCGATTTTGTTGGCCCACAATGATAGAATGATTCATTTATTCCAAACGAGATTCGTTAACTATTAACGAATGGTAGAGTTGAATATGACCAAATGAATATTCGTTAATAGTTAACGAATGGTTCACTTGAATGGCGAAAGTCAAGTCAAACAAGGCTCCTCAAATATACATTCGTTAACTATTAACGAATGAACATTTGGTGGGACCTCCAACCAAAATCCATTCGTTAACAATAACTAGTCCGTTCTATCATTGCAAACAAGACTTGTTTGACAACGTGTTTGTTTTTCTCTCAGTGTGGGCTCGAGAGCGCTGTGTTGGGTCACTCTTTCCTTGCTCATATCTCGAAATCTAAAGGAGATATGTGAAATTGACAAAAGACAAAAATGATTCCTTATCAAATTCCAAATAATTCGTGATCCGAAAATTTTCGTATATCTTCCATAGTTTGGGCGCTAGGGCGATTTGAACAATTAAATTGTTGATAATAAATAGTTGCAATGCCTAAAATTGATTGGAAATTGTTTACTTGACGTTCCGTGATCATATTTAATTGTTCAAAAAAAGCATTACGCATTGGAAGGCGAGTGGTCGGTCGGTCAATTTAGAATCTCTTTTTGGGGGTGTCACGCAGCTCTAGTTGGATCACTCACATATCGGCAGGAATAAGAGAGAAGAGACGAGGAGGAAAGGTGCCATTTTTCCCTCGATGTCGTAAAGTATGGAGCCTATGGGGTAGCCAACGAGCACCCCGAGGGCTATACTCCCTAGCACAAAGCCCATCACTTTCGATCGCTCACTCTCCTCCGAGTACTGGGAGGCCACTAGGGACATACCCGATACCCCAATACATGCCGATGATATTCCCTGGATGCTGCGTGCGAGGAAGAGGAGCTCGTACGTCTGTCCAAATGCAAATACTACCGAAAGTAGTACAGGGTGAGGCATCCAGTGTTCGAACGCGTGAGATTCGTGTGAAAAAAATTACAGGAAAATTTAATAGAAGGCATTCCATTCAACATCTATTAGAATTCATTGTATTTGTTTTTTTTTGGCTGGATTGTGTCTCAAAAAAAAATTGATTTTCAGGGATATATCACTTTTCCAGAGATACCCATCCCTAATGATCAAGAATCCATCGCAATTTTCTGGGGATTTGCAATTGTGAAATTCAACGAGTGCAAAATTCTGGAGCTCTAAAAAATACAGTGAAAATGATTTGAAAAAATGGATAAATTCTCCACCGTTCTTGAGTCATACGATTAAAGACTGTTCGTTCTACCCCACTCCTTGTATCCTATGATTAATGTTTCGAAGATTGATTTCCGATAAAAGCTAATGCCTCGAAAGCTATCCAATGAATAAAACTCCCCCTCAGTTTGATAGATAGCTCCCACCCAAGTCTACTTTCTGCCAAAATGTCACAAAATTCCCCAATAAGTAGCAAATGTCACACAAATGTCATCTCAAAAACAATCAAATATGAAGAACTCCATGATATACTCGTCAAACTTCTGAATTATTCATGAATACATACACAATGAAGCAAGGAGGAGCCAAAAATGAATAATCTATCCCCAATTTTTAGGAATTTTTTACACTGCCACCCTACCCTAAATTTAATGAAATTAGTGAAAAAAAACACCAAAGTCTATAATTGCTCGTTGAATTTCAGACTTCCACAAATTGAAGCTTCAAAAAATACCTCGAAAAGGAACACAAAAATCGAATAATCCCCCAATGAATAATAAATGACACACAAATGTCGACATCTCAAGAACAACCAAACATGAAAACCCTACGAAATACCCATTAAACCCCTGAATTTTTCGTGAATGCATGCGCAATGACGTGAGGAGGCAAAAATTGAAAATCTATCCCCAATTTTGAGGAATTTCTTACACTGAGTTATCTACCCTAAATTTAATGAAATTAGTGAATAAAACCACCCAATTCTATAATTTTTCTTAGAATTTCAGACTGCAATAAATTGAGGCTTCAAAAAATACCTCGAAAACGAACACAAAAATCGAAAAATTCCCCAATGAATAACAAATGTCACACAAATGTAAAAATCGCAAGACCAATCAAACATGAAAAACCCCACGAAATACCCATCAAACCCCTAAATTATTCAGGAATACATACACAATGAAACGAGGAGAAGGCAAAAATTAATAATCTATCCCCAATTTTTAGGATTTTCGTACACTGACTTATCTATTCTAAATTTAATGAAATTAGTGAAAACCTCCACCAAATTCCATAATTTCTCGTTGAATTTCAATTTCCACAAATTGAAGCTTCAAAAAATACCTCGAAAAGGAACACAAAAATCGAAAAATTCCCCAATGAATAACAAATGTCACACAAATGTCAACATCTCAAGCCCAATCAAACATGAAAAACCCCACGAAATACCCATCAAACCCCTGAATTATTCATGAATACATACACAAGGAAACGAGGAGAAGGCAAAAATTAATAATCTATCCCCAATTTTTAGGATTTTCGTACACTGACTTATCTATTCTAAATTTAATGAAATTAGTGAAAAACTCCACCAAATTCCATAATTTCTCGTTGAATTTCGACTTCCACAAATTGAAGCATCAAAAAATACCTCGAAAACGAACAAAAAAATCGAAAAATTCCCCAATGAATAGCAAATATCACACAAATGTCAACATCTCAAGCCCAATCAAACATGAAAAACCCCACGAAATACCCATCAAACCCCTGAATTATTCATGAATACATACACAATGAAGCAAGTAGGAGGCAAAAATTTCCAAGAAACAGTGGCTTGGCGTAGCCAACGGTACCAGTGAGTGTACCAACAGCTGGATTTAGAATTAATTGCACAAAGGCCTTTGAGCTAAGTAAAAAGCCAATCTTGCCTTCCTCATCTCCCTCCAGCAGCGTTGAATTCTCAGAAATGGTGCACAGGTAGTCCGGGATAATGGGTACTGTATAAACAATTTTTTTTTCACCCCCATCACTCGGATTAGAACAAGAGTCAGCCTCGAGAGACGAAGATTAATGCATTGTCTTGCGCTCACCGACCACCGTGAGTAATACATTATCCAAGAAGAGGCTCAGGTAAACGACAGTGACGAGCATCAGTCGAGCGTCCTTGAAATTATCCAGTGTCATTGTGCCAAGTAATCGTGGACAATGATGATGTTAGCATAGAGGGCTTCTTGAAAATCCAGCGTTTTATAAAATCCCATTGAAACTGGAGATATTCATGGTGCAACGACATCCTTTTATACCTTTTCCCAACGTGTTACTTGTGCGCAGGAGCATGGACAAGGTGACAGAACACTCCATGGGGAGATACTTCATAACGCATGGGGGATTGTGTATGGAACTACTAACATCACGTTTTTACGAGTCAATGAGCTTTTCGATTTGTTTGATCGACCCCTGTCTTATCTTTGTGCCAACAGCCAGGCTCGAATCGAGAATCATATGGCGTGGAAATTATCGTCGGGAAGGCGCGTGGATCACATCAGTGGAGTCAGTTNTTCATTTTTAATGAATGGGTTTCGTCGGGAGGCGAGTGGATCATATCGGTGGAGTCAGTTGAGTATTTATCAATCGTCAATGCATTTTCGTTTCCTATCGGATTTGGGGGGTTTTACTATGGCGTCTTCTGCTTTTTTTTAGGAAGCTTTTTAAAACGCTTTTTTTCGCGTGTTCAAAGATTGATGAGGAGAAGCTAATGAGAATTGTATGATAGAAGAATGAAGATTAGAAATTGGATTAGAATTAAAGAATACAATTGAAAATTGTAAATTTTTATTCAATTTCATTTTTAATGAATGGGTTTCGTCGGGAGGCGAGTGGATCATATCGGTGGAGTCAGTTGAGTATTTATCAATCGTCAATGCATTTTCGTTTCCTATCGGATTTGGGGGGTTTTACTATGGCGTCTTCTGCTTTTTTTTAGGAAGCTTTTTAAAACGCTTTTTTTCGCGTGTTCAAAGATTGATGAGGAGAAGCTAATGAGAATTGTATGATAGAAGAATGAAGATTAGAAATTGAATTAGAATTAAAGAATACAATTGAAAATTGTAAATTTTTATTCAGTTTCATTTTTAATGAATGAGTTTCGTCGGGAGGCGGGTGGATCATATCGGTGGAGTCAGTGGAGTATTTATCAATTGTCAATGAATTTTGGTTTATCGAATTGGGGGGGGGGGGTTTTA